TGTTTGTAGTGGGCAATGCGGCAAAAGGCAGCCCATGTGGTTCAGTTAGTTGCTGGTGGTGCTCGAGAGCTAATTCTGCTCTGTAGAGATATATGTATGACTGTATGTGTGCCTAGAGATTCATTATTTTTTGCCTTTTTGCATCAAGAAAATCCCCTTATTATTAAGGGAATTGATGTTCATTGTTACGAAAAATGTGTAACGTTCACTCTGTAAAAAAGCATGGGCATTATTCTCATAACAAAAAATGATGCAGTTCTCTTGTCTTGGCCATGTAATTCGGATGCATTTTAAAAAGTTAATAAAAGAAATAAAATGAAGCCGATCACTAACATTGGCCATGTGGTCCACATAACTTATAATTTTTTAAGAGAAAAGACAGAGTGTCATGCAGTCCGCTTCCATGTATGCCGAGGTTCATTTGCACTCGTCTCTGTGGTCCACTCTCGTTCATAAAAAAGTTAAGAAAAACAACAAAAACTCGCCCGACAAAAGAAGTTATGCAACTCGCTTGACCCTTGTATGCGATGCGTTTTTTCGTCTGAAGCAGTGTGATTTTATGTTGGATGAAGCTCACTCATCGATTTGAGTGTCGCAAAAAACCGAGTGTCACAAAAATGTTTTCATGTGTCTCAGAATTCAGTCGACTACATCAACACTTGCAGTGCCTTCGGTCTTCGAATGTCGTTCCCTTTTGAGAGTGATGTTGTTCACTTGCGTATGAGAAAAAACGTCCGACAAAACAAATTATGCAGCTCGCTTGCCCATCCGATGCAGTGCAGTTTTCATTCAGAAGTAGTGCGGTCGGCCGTATGATATTGTTTATCCCGTAAGTGCAAAAAAATTATTACGAAAGCGAAAAAAAGTAATGTGGTTCACTTTTTGATAGTGTTGTGGTTCATTTACACCCGATGTGAAGTGCACTCTACTTTCTCATTCTTGAAAAAAATACGTTTGAATAAAAGAAATGATACACCGTTGGAAAGAGATTGTCGAGGCGCATATTTTTCATATGTATTATTTTCTCTAATTCGCTATGGTTTAAGAGCAGTTTTAAATTTACTAAACCGTGAAATTCAGGTTTTTTGACATTTTTACAATTTTTTGTATTGTTTTCGCTCTAGTTTTTGAACCGTTTGTCCAAACGAGGCATATGATACGCCGTTGGAATGCTACGGACGAGGCGCGGCTTTCATATGTTGAAATGTTTTTGAGATTCCTTAAGGCTTTCAGTTAATTTTGAAAATCGTGCAGCTGACGACGAGAGGCAGCGGCCCTTTCGTGAATTTTTTTACAAACCGCTACTCGAAATGATTCAAATTATACGCCGTTAGAAAGATATCGATGAGGCACAACTTTTGCATGTAGAATGCTCTCTCTAATTCCTTACCATTTAAGAGTAATTTTAAAATACCAAAACACGGACACTCTGTTTTTCGCGACACCAAAATCGACCTCTGTACTGCCTTAGACAGAATAGCGTATTGCTTCTGACTGAAAATCGCACTGCATCAGACAGTCAAGTGCACTGCATATTTTCTTCCTGTCCCTTTTTCTAAGGTTTTTCAAAAGCGTGAGTGAGAACTACATACTTGGTTTATCATTATTTAACTTTTTTTGTAAATTCAACTAGACGACATGAGCAATGTTACTGGACTACATGGTCAATGTTAGTGAGCTGCATGAAACTTTTTTTTTTGTGTTTGTCTTGTCCTGCAAAATATAGTTAACAGAACCGCGGGTGTGTAATGCATCAGAGTAGCCTTGAACTTCACCGCCTTCTTGTTTTGCAAAGTGCACCGCTAAGGTTTTCTTAATAAACTGCATCGATTTTGACCCGCAAAAAAACCTGCAACAAATTTTACCAAAGTATAAACCATGTCCACACAAATTTGCAAAAACAATTGCTCCAAAAATAATAAAGTGAACTCCTCTGAAAATCAGACGGAACGGTGAAATACATCACCGTGGGAACAGTACTGTACACATGCGCTCCACACCGCCGGCCGGCCGACTGCACGCATATGCGCTCCACACAGCACGAACGCATCGACTGAACTGCATGCGCACTGGGGTGGAGAGGGGAAAGATTGGATGTGGGAGGGGATCCCTGGCAGGGGCGGATCTGGGCCCCAGGCCCCCAGGGCCTAGGCCCGGGGCGTGGCTTTTTTAGTTACTACCTATGCATGTTTTTGAATGGGCCTGGGGCTTGGCCCAATACACATCCAGGGCCCGGCCAGGCAGTCCCTCCATACCGCAGCCTCGCACTAGCAGGACTCGCTCGCACGGGCGCATCAGGCCATCAGCCACCGCTCGCCCCTGCCCTCTTCGTTCCCAAAGGCCCAAACCTAGATCGATGCAGAGGACGCAGGCAGCAGCAGCCGCCGCCACCGGCCGCTGGTGACTTCCCTCCGCTCCGTCCTCCCCTGCTTGCCTACTCCGCTGCGATGCCTGCTACTCCGCCTCCGCAGTCCGCGCCTGCTCCGCCGCCCGCCCGCGCCCTCCGCCGCTCGCCCAACCTGGGTTGGTCTCGTGCTGCTCCGGCCTCCGGTGCTCGCCGGCTTACCGCCTCGACCTCTCCTGGCTCCAGGCGGCCACACCGTCTTCCCTCAATCCCCCTGCTGACTACTGCCCATAATTGGTAATGGGGCTGCTGTTTTATGTTGATACAAATTTCAAAGATTAAACATTTTTTATCTGCAATCTGCATCTGCTTATGGAGTTGGTTGCTGTTGTTGTCATGCATTAAATTTCACTTGAATTGTATTTGAATGTGAATATTGCTATTGCTATTGTTAATGTCAATTTCATTTCATTTTGTAGAAATAAAAGATGAAGAGATATTTTTCATCCGTGGCCGCAACAGAAGTGTCTACACCCAGAGTTTTAGCAGGGAATCAAGGGGCCGATAGGACTGAAGCAACTCCAGAAAATGAAACAGCTGCAGAAATGGGACCGCCGCCTTCAATGTCAACTCGAGAAAGCAACATTTTTGTTATTCCCGATTCTGCTCGTGGTCAACTAAGGGAAGGTGATATTGAACCTGATCCTGGTCATAGGAAACCTATTGAAAGCTTAGATCCAGATATTAGAGATGTTGCTAGAAGGATGTATGTAAATATGGGTCCATGCCAACCAAGTGGTCATAAATTTAAAAAATAAACTAGAGGAAATTCTTTGAAAAAGATATTCGTTCAAGCTAAATGATTTGGGAAGCATTCTGATTGGTTGGTAGTGTTGCTAAGGAGGTAGCCTTTTGTTTCTATTGCTTTCTTTTTAAGCAACCTAGAGCAGAAAACTATGGTGTTGAGGCATTCACAACAGTAGGGTTTAAAAATTGGAAGGATGGACTTAGTATTATTGATACACACGTTGGTAAACATGATAGTGCTCACAATAAAGCTAGACAACAAAATGTGGCTTTCAAAAATCAAAGTCAATCTCTTGTAAATGTGATGGACCGTGGCACCATAAAGACCCAAGAAGAATATAAATCTTGTCTTATCATTATTTGGGTGTTATAAGATTTCTTCTCTTACAAGCTCTTGCTTTTCGTGGTCACGATGAGAGCTCCAGCCCAAAGAATAGGGGATTTTTTTTGAGATGATGAGTTGGTACAGGGAGAAGGATCCGAATGCTAAGACTTTGCTTGATAGTGCGGGCAGGAACCATTTGATGACTTCACATGGGATACAATTGCAGTTGTGTCAAGCTTGTGCTGAAGAGACCACCAAAGCAATTATTGATGATATTGGAGATAGAAATTTTTCTTTACTTGTTGATGAGTTTAGAGATGCATCAATAAAGGGGCAAATGGCTATGGTTTTAAGGTTTGTAACTTTGCATCTTTTATGTTAGTTGTTGTTTTGTTCTTTACTAATAGTAGTAGTGTAGTACCTAATTGTTGGTTACTAGTGCTTCTTTGTGTTATGTAGGTATGTCGATAAACATGGGTATGCGATTGAGAGGTTCATTGGGATTAAGCACGTTGGTGACACAAGAGCGGCTTCTCTAAAAGCAGCTTTGGATGGTATATTTCTTAAACATGGCTTGTCTATGTCTAAATTGAGAGGGCAAGGGTACGATGGACCTTCTAACATGAGAGGATAATTTCGTGGGTTGCAAAGATTGATACTAGATGAAAATCCTTATGCATTTTATATTCATTGCTTTGCCCATCAGTTGCAATTAGTGGTAGTTGTTGTTGCCAAGTGTTGTTCCTCTGTATTGGATTTCTTTAACCACGTAACTTTGATTGTCAACACTGTCAATGCTTCTTGTAAGAGACATGATGAACTAGCCCAAGAACAACATGATAATATTGTGAGCCAATTGGAGTCCGGGGAAATTTTTTCAGGAAGAGGGAAAAACCAAGCAACCAACCTTGTAAGACCTGGGGATACACAGTGGGGCTCACATCATAAAACTTTGTGTCAGTTTATTGAGATGTGGACATCTGTTTCGCATGTATTAGAGAACATTCATGATGATGCAGAGAATTTAACACAAAGAACCACAGCAGGTGGCTTGATATCTCATATGGAAACTTTTGAATTTGTTTTCATATTGCATGTTATGATCAAACTATTGGGAAACACTAATGAGTTGTCACAATGTTTGCAAAGGAAAGATCAAAACATTGTTCTAGCAGTGAGTTTGATTGGGATCACACTGTGGCAACTTCAAAATATAAGATAAAATGGTTGGGATCAGCTCTTGAAGGACACAACTGACTTTTGTGTTAAGCATAACATTATATTGCCTAACATGGATGATACAATACCCGATCGGGGTCGTTCAAGGGGGCGTGGTGGTCAAATGGTAACTTCTATCAACACTTCAGATATGAAATATTCAATGTTCTGCTTGACCAAACAATTACCGAGTTAAATAATCACTTTGCTGAAAGATCTACTCAATTGTTGAGATGCATTGCTTGTCTTGATCCAAGGAACTCATTTGGTAATTTTGATGAAGACAAACTTGTTCAAATTGCTGAGATGTATGTTGATGACTTCTCCATATATGAGATTTCTTTTATCCTTAGAAACCAACTTGAAAACTTCATTGCTGATGTGAGAGCTGATTCAAGTTTTGTTAGTTGTAATGATCTTGGTAGTCTTGCTGTGAAGATGGTTCGGACTGATAGACACATGGTCTTTCCTTTGGTATATCGTCTTATTGAGTTGGCATTGATTTTGCCTGTTGCAACCGCATCAGTGGAAAGAGCTTTCTCAGCTATGAGTATTATCAAGACTGAGTTGGGGAATAAGATGGGTGATGATTGGTTGAATTTTTCCATGGTCTGCAATATTGAGCGAGAAATATTTGCAAAGGTTGATGATGATGCTATTATATATCGCTTTCAATCCTATAGATGTCGCAAAGGAACTTTACCTCATCGTAGTAGTAAGTTTTCAACTCTGTACAATGTTAATGGTTTCACATGATGTTTATGTCTCCTGTTATGTAATTTTACTTTTCATTTCTCCAAGGTGTTGGCTCTTCTTCCACCGTTGATCAACTTATGGACGACGCTGATGAAGCAAGCCACTGATTTGGTACTCTTTTTACTGCATGTACTGTTCATAGATTTTGTCATCTTGTTTTTATCTATTTTGTTGTATCTTTAAACATTGAGTTTAAATTCGAAATTATTAGTACAATTGAGCCATATTTGAGGTAGCTATAGTGATGCGGAGCATCCCTCACTCATCCCCATTGACGTGCCTACATCTCCCTCAGCAACACTTGGACCCATGACAAGAGCCCGGGCTAAGGCCATTGAAGATAAGGTGAACTCGCTCCTCTCCGAACTTCCTATTCCTAATCACGAGACATGGCTACTACCTCATTCAGAAACTCTGTGTGTTATCAGGTGCCTGGAAACGAGCGACGGAACAGCGACCCCCAAGAGCCAAGACAGCAAGGACCCCAATCATGATGAACAAGAAGAAGAGCTACCGCGAAGCTACAGGCGTCGGACGACCGACAGTGTCCGGACGTCCGACGAGTCCCAGGACACGGACGACCGGACCCCTCCGGACGTCTGACACTTCGTCACCCGAACCAAATCTACGGACGCCCGGAGCAGACCGGACGACCGGACGACAAGCACCCGAGCCAAAACTACGGGCGACCGACAGCCTCCGGACGTCGGGACCCTCCTGAAGCCCCGGACGACCGACCCCCTACGGACAACCGACACGCCCATGACAGAGCTAAATCTACGGACGTCCGAACACGTCCGGATGACCGGACCGTCCCGAGCCTCCGGACGTCCGACGCCTTCCGGACGTTCGACTCCTGAGTGACCAAACCTGCGGGCTGGAGCCCTTGTATCCCTTTGTTTTGACTTGCATTTGCACTAAGACTATAAATAGGACGCCCCCATCTCCTTTTGAGGGTAGCATAGGTTTAGCTCATATTTTGTGTGAGAGCCTTGCTCATCCACTTGGCTACTTCCCCTCGGAGCTCAGGACCTCTTCGGAGAAGATCCCCCAAGCGGATTCAAGACCCCTCTCGAGGGAAGACCATCAAGACCTCCGTACGGAGAAGAACTTTTCCTATGTACCCTTACCTTAGTTGATCGTGGATCTTATGTTACTCTATGTTGTCGGTGATCTAGCACTCGTGTGATTGATTCTATGTCGGTTTAGTGTTTCTCCCTCTCTTTTTCCCCGTGTTTTCCCTTTGTGCTTCCGTGTGTTCTTCGTGATTCCCCCATAGGATCCCTCCAAACGTGAAAGATCATGCATCTAGGGTTCCACCCTACATCATCTTGGTATCATGAGCCACGTTGATCACGTTTCGGAGCCCCTACCCCGTGTTTTCTAGCTTGATTTTGTTGTTTTCATCCTAAATCCAAAAATTCCCCACCAAAAATAGCCCCAAATTTTTTTTGTGATTTGTTTGTGAGTTGAGATTTTGTTGGATTTGGTCCATGGATTTGTGTTGCTGCGTGTGGATCTAGCTTTTCCCACCCTCCCCACCCTTATCCATCCACCAAACCACTCGATTTCGACCTCACTATTTCCTTCTTCCCCGGATTTCTCGCAGTTCCTCTCCTCGAGCCCGATTTTCGCCCAGGCTTCGGACGACCGGTAAAGGCCGGACGTCCGACGAAGTCCGGACGACCGTAAAATCACGGACGCCCGTGAAACCCTGACGAAGCTGAAGTTCGACAGTTCCACCACCTCCACATTCCCACATTCCACCACATCTTCCAAACCCACATACAGAAACATCTTCCACGATACCTCCGATGACGATTTTGACACATTTTGTTTCTTGAGATTTTGAGTTGTGGATTCTATATCCTTTTGTGTTTTGGCTATCTAGGTACGGTTGACGTCATCACCACCACGACTCATCTTCGCAAGGACGGTAACTTCGACGACATCTTTGTCATAACTTGCAATTGCATTGATAACCCACATTGCCTCATTTTGCGTAGCTTACCCATCGAGACTAGCCATTGAGTATTGCAGGCAACGTGACTTGTGCACATTAGTGATCATACTCCATATAGCATACATATCATACCATAGTGGTGCATATCTTGAGATCAACTTGTGTGTCACAAAGTTGTCATAGCATACGCAATTGCTATCTTGGTTCGTGAGTCTTGCATGAGAAAAGAGCTCAAAAGTGAAAGAGCCACCCAAGCTTTTAAGCAAAAAGGAAAGATAAGCAAAGAGCTTATAAGCAAGAACCATAGCATCATGCAACATTAAGATTGTCATATCCGATCATCTTGGATCATCGCACCGAAATATCGTACATATAGCATACTTGGGATAGAGATCGTTGCATTTTTGCCTAGTAGGTTGTGCACAAGTTTGCGTATCCGCCTATTTTGCAATCGTGCTAGCGTATCTCTAGTATTGTGCAACAAGAGCATTTCGTGGTTTCCACATTTTGGCTCAATTTTGGATTGCACAATCCCATTTATCTATTTGCGTGTGTGTTTCCGTGTACCCATACTTGCTTGGTCTACTTGTTGCATTTGCAAATTTGTGAATCTTTTCCAACATTATTGAAGCTCACTTACTATTGCATCAAATTTTGTGCCACCATCCTAACCAAACTCCACCATAAGCTTTTACGTGTGTAGGTGTGAGAACCGACAAGAATTGGTACCAACAGTGCTATTTCATTGTCCGCATTTGAGTGGGTTTGATCCATCTTCAACTTCGGTCAAGGTACATTTGGTACATGTTCTTTTCCTTCTTCCACTTATAGTTTGCTTGGTATGATCGGTAGGCCAAGTTCTTCTACCACTCCACCTCTCATTGAGAAGGGCGACGACATGTCATCATTCGTCACAAAGAGCCACCTCTTTGGTGCTCAAAGGGCGTTACACCAAGAGCAACAAGCTATGAGCGACCGCATCGACAACCTCGCCACCGACTTGCGACTCTCCGAGCAACGTACAAGAGACAACTTCGACAACAAATTTGACTCTCACAAGCAAGAGAATGATGCAAGAATGGACGAGATCCGGGCCTTGATGAGGAACCGGCATCCTTCCACTTCTTCATCCTCAAGACGGAGCCGCTCAAGTCGACACTCCGACGACACCTTCTCCAACACAAGTACACCGTCATCGACCATTCTTCGACGAGCCGCGCGTCAAGACCGTCATGCATCTCGCAACGCGCTACATGACAAGCATTCACAAGAGCAAGTCGATGAGCAAGTCCCTCGTCCTCAATCAAACCAAGTGGCTTTTGCTCAAGCTCAAGAACGGCAACGACTATGACGCCAAGAAGAAGAACGAGCGCGTCTACACCAAGAAGAACAAGATGCCGAGGCTCAACGTCTTCAACAACAACAACGGGAAGCACAAGCTCTTGAGGCGCAACGTGCCCTTCGAGATTCGAGCCAAGCCATTGCCAACCGCAATCACGAGCGGCGCAATCAAGAGGAAGCCCTTCAAGAAGAAATCGAAGAGAGGAACTACCAAACGCGTGTACTGTTGGGGAACGTAGCAGAAATTCAAAATTTTCCTACGTGTCACCAAGATCTATCTATGGAGAAACTAGCAAGGAGCGGAAGGAGAGTGCATCTACATACCCTTGTAGATCGCTAAGAGGAAGCGTTCAAGAGAACGGGGTTGAAGGAGTCGTACTCGTCGTGATCCAAATCACCGGAGATACTAGTGCCGAACGGACGACACCTCCGCGTTCAACACACGTACAGCCCGGTGACGTCTCCCGTGCCTTGATCCAGCAAGGAGAGAGGGAGAGGTTGGGGAAGACTCCATCCAGCAGCAGCACGATGGTGTGGTGGTGATGGAGGAGCGTGGCAATCCTGCAGGGCTTCGCCAAGCACCGCGGGAGAGGAGGAGGACTTGGGAGAGGGGGAGGGCTGCCCCAGGGGCAAGGGTGCAGCTCCCATGCGCCTCCTCACTATATATAGGGGTGGAGGGGGATTATTTCTTGCCCTCCAAGTCCATTGGGGCGTTGGCAAAGGTGGGAGGAAAGAAATCCCATCCTTTCCTTTCCCCACCGATTGTTATCCCCCCTTTTTAGGGATCTTGATCTTATCCCTTTGGGATATGATCTTATTACTTCTAAGGGGGGATCTTGGTGCGCCTTGACCAGGGGTGCGGGGCCTTGCCCCCACTACCCACGTTCATGTGGGTCCCCCCATGCAGGTGGGCCCCACTCCGGAACCTTCTAGAACCTTCCCGGTACAATACCGAAAAATCCCGAACATTTTCCGGTGGCCAAAATAGGACTTCCCATATATAAATCTTTACCTCCGGACCATTCCAGAACTCCTCATGACGTCCGGGATCTCATCCGGGACTCCGAACAACATTCGATAACCACGTATACCTATTCCCTCTAACCCTAGCGTCATCGAACCTTAAGTGTGTAGACCCTACGGGTTCGGGAACCATGCAGACATGACCGAGACGTTCTCCGGTCAATAACCAACAGCGGAATCTGGATACCCATGTTGGCTCCCACATGTTCCACGATGATCTCATCGGATGAACCACAATGTCAAGGACTCAATCGATCCCATATGCAATTCCTTTGTCTAGCGGTATTGTACTTGCCCGAGATTCGATCGTCGGTATGCCGATACCTTGTTCAATCTCGTTACGGGCAAGTCTCTTTACTTGTTCCATAACACATCATCCCGTGATCAACCCCTTGGTCACATTGTGCACATTATGATGATGTCCTACCGAGTGGGCCCAGAGATACCTCTCCGTTACACGGAGTGACAAATCCTAGTCTCGATTCGTGCCAACCCAACAGACACTTTCGGAGATACCTGTAGTGCACCTTTATAGCCACCCAGTTACGTTGTGACGTTTGGTACACCCAAAGCATTCCTACGGTATCCGGGAGTTGCACAATCTCATGGTCTAAGGAAAAGATACTTGACATTAGAAAAGCTTTAGCATATGAACTACACGATCTTTGTGCTAGGCTTAGGATTGGGTCTTGTCCATCACATCATTCTCCAAATGATGTGATCCCGTTACCAACGACATCCAATGTCCATGGTCAGGAAACCGTAACCATCTGTTGATCA